ACAGTTGTTGTGCACTGCGCAGTCCCGGGCGGAATTCCGGCAAGGCTCTGGACCACAACCTGCATGGTATCCGAAGCAGCGCCCCAATCGAGCCCAAACTCCGCGAAATCCCTGCAATGGCAGAATCTCCAATGAAAAGACGATGAACGAAACCAAGGAAGTCTCAAGGTCTCAAGGCATGCAAATATCAAACTGGCGGCGATGTTCAATCGTGAGCTGTTTTTCCCCTTTTTCGGCGCTCTTCAGGTTGTCCATCCCAGCCGCTCGCGGAGCACTGGAAGCACGGCTGAGGCCCACTTCTTGTTGCCCTGCAAGGTTGAGATGCTCAGGGACCCAGGCACAGCTTGCTACTAGCGGGTTAGAAGATAGATTCAGTTAGATGAAAGCTCGCCCGCAGCGAACAACGTTCTTCATGGTGGCCCGGCCTCCACTGACCAATGCCTCAAAAAGAACAAAACAAAACAGAGAAGGGGTGCCGTGAGTGTGACGGGAATGCCAAAATCACAGCTCTGAGACCACAGCCCCGCTTGTCCCCAGTCTGCAGGATTGGATAACAAACAGGGTGGGTCTGGCACCACCACATCCAAGAAGACCTGACATGCCAGTCCAGTTAAGGAGCTTCAGCGCAGGCGTAAAATCCTCGAAGCATCCGCCTTCTCGTCCTCAACCAACTCTGCCGCCTTGCGCCTCAGGTGGAGTCACAACTTTGAGGAATCTAAAGCAGTACACATGGAAACAAAAAACAACAGCAACGATGGCAACAAAAATGATACCATACTATACAATACTCGTGCCGATGCACAACTTGGCATCTGGCCAGCAGCGAGACATGTCAGCCGCAAAGGTCGCTTGATCTTCCAGACTTCCAATGCACGCCTTAGGCAGGAAGCCCTCGTCACAGGCTGCCAAGGTCTTGAAAAGCACACAGGCAGGCACACAGCCGGAAATTAGGACCACAATTGCCTTTACTAAACGCTTCATGCACAAGCAGGAGCAGAGAGCTATTGCCCCTCTTCCCTCAGCACATGTCTAACGATGCAAAGAGATCTATGCTACCAGCAACTTGGCACACAAGGCACGGCGAATGAGGAGAATCGTGGGAACCCGGCTGGCTGCAGCGGAACGAGGACAAAGCCCAGAGCAGCCAGGCATGTCAGCTAAGGCACACAGACCGAAGTCGGTGATGGCAATAGGATGCAGATAGGAGTCTCTGGCCCTGACAGCTGTTGATAACAGCATGTGGCTCCTGTCTTCATGTCTAGAAGCTCCTTGCCTCGATATGCGCGAAGCCTCGTGAGGAACTCGCGAAGGCCGTCGATCAAGGCCTCATCGCCTGACGTAGGAACGACCCTGAAAGCCTGGATAGATCTGGATTGAGGAGTTTACTGAAAGCCTCGGGAGTGAAGGGACCACCAGTCGTTGCCACCCAAGTACACAAGCACGGCATCCGGCTTCCATTCTGACGTCTCCAATGTGGGCAGCCTCAAGTAACTTCAAACAGCTTGCGCTCGTGTGCAGACAGCTCTACCTCACCACGTGGTCCCGCCCTCCCAATACCATCCCCGGCATCCTGTGAAGGCTAAATTCAAGCCTCTTGGAAGTAATTTCCATGGCTGGCTGAGCGTCGGCGACGTTCCCAGCTGTCTCAGATAGAGGTCGTGAAAGGGCACCTCATGCAGAGAAGCATTCACGCTGAACAGCCTGCATCGCGCTCAAGAATCAGGCAAAGGCGCGTCCGCTGTGCAGCCAGGCACGTTCCAAACCTGCACACAGAGCTAAGTTGCTACTCTCAAACCACAGCGCAGGGCTACCTGAAGCTGCAAGGCGCTTATTGACATGAAAGAATGGAAAACTGCTCGTCTTCGACTCGCTGAACTTCACTCTCAGAGGCTGACAACGCCGGCCCCGCTCCATGCAATGTTATGGAATTCAGCACCGACGGCTCCTGCAGAAAAAAAACGTGCTCCCATGCGAGCTCTCAACACTGCTTGAGGTCACCTCGTCACCTCGTACCTATAAGGTTTATACTGCATAAACGAGAGAAGAGACCTCAAGGAGGAAGGTTTTCTTTTTCCCCTCCAAATTGGCTTCCGAGGCACCGGCGACTAGCGCAGGCCAGGCTTGGTTGGCGTCTTGATGCGATGGGTCCATCTCAGTGACAAACGGTCAAAGAACGTCAAGTAGCTTGTTGTAGTGATACCAAATTTTGGACCCCTTCATTTAACCATCCTTTCTCGGGCTTTCACTGAAAAATGAGGATGCCAATGATACTCACAGAGATCCTCACTGCAGCCCGGACACGGAGAACGCCGCGCGGAGTCCTGCGAGAATCAACACTGGCCTTTTTTTTATCCATGAGTACTCTGGGAAGGCGGAAGAGGCGGAAGGAAGAAGAGCTGTCCTGGCGCGCCGGGCTGGCTTGGGCCCTGGTTGCCAAAGCCCGAGGTCTCCGAGTCCCCCAAGATCTCCAAACGCTTCACCTCCGAGCTCATTTCGATTGACCCCAATTTTTCTACAGTGCTTATCTCTCTCATCACTTTTCATGAAAATCCCCAAATCTCACGTTCAACCTGTTTTGCCCTCGAGGCAAACCGCGGCAAACGGGACCTCGCCCTCGCCCGTGGGAAGCTCGTCCAGCTCGCTGGACGAGACAATGCCATGGAACGTGACCACATCGCTGGGCTTCCGAAAGAAGGTCCCGATCCGCGCCTCTCGCGACCCATGCTGCGAAAGCTTCATGTAGCAACATCTAGCAGCAAAAGCTATGAGATGCTACGAGTCTGAGGCAGCGCAGCGCGTGGCAGACGCACAGCAGGCGGGAGTGCTCATTTCTCATGCTCACTTCTTGGCTTAGTGTCACTGCGTGGACAAGCCTAGGCCAGGCTCCAGGTTTGACGATTGTCGAACCTGCCTTCATGCCATCCAAACACAGGCGATCTGAAATGCAGAAGCAGAAGCATGAATGGAGCTCGGGCTACATCATTGTTTGCATGAGCATGCAGCAATCAATTGCTTGTCGTCATGGCGATGCCGTTGTCGTCATAGAGTCGTAAAGGTCTGGTTCCGCTGTAACAGCGCCAAGACTTTCTTCTCTCTCCCTTACGCAGTTTTCGCAAGTGAGGCCTTGGGCACACTTGAAGCCTTGCATGAGCCACTCTGCAATCAGTCTACATTAGTCTACAGACTCAGGCTTTTTGCCCGCTCGCTTTCAACACGTTGCGTTTTCCCATTTTAAAATATCCTACCGCCATCGCAAATTAATCACGCCGGAAGAGGCAGGAGTCTTGGACCAGTATCCATACATATGCTCTAACCACCTACAGCTGTGCCGCTTCAACGACGGTGCTCACGACCCGAGCACTTGGCCCGACCCCAAGCATAGGGGTTGGACATACATGGGGGGTGTATCCCAGGATTCTCTCCAAATAAATTCGGGGGGCATGAGGAACAATCGAGAATACGTATCAAACGGGTTAGGGCCTCAGGAATCACTGATTTGAAACGTTCGTGGGGCTCTGACATGGACCAGACGACTGAGAAAACCTCCTTCAGGCCTGAGCCGCAGCCTGAAATCTTGGCATGCCCCCTCAAACGCCGTCGTCGCTAGGCCTACCACTACTGCGGGCGGCTCAGGCTTTCTTGTCTTTTTCGTCCAAGCCCTCGCCTCCCACTATGACAGCGGGCGGCTCAGGCTTTGTCGTCGCCAGCCCTCGCCTCCCACTATCACAGCAAGAGGCTCAAACTACGTCGTCTTTGTCATCGAGACTACCTCCCACTGTCCCAGTGGGAAGTTGCCCAGTGCACCGAAATAACTCCTGTCAGCTTAACCCCTGAACTGATCATCTGCCGACATAAGATTTCCTGGGCTCACCTGCCCATCCGGGCCGACAAAATACGCAAAATCAAATACTGCAAGCGGGCACAGCGACCCGAAAATAAATGAAAGCAAAACTTGAGGCTTGAGCCATCTTGAGCCCCTGGATTTCATTTTCCCGCATCCGACCCCTATCCCCAAGCCATAACACAAGCCGCTCAGTCGGCCTCCGTACGCTTCTGGACCTGGCCGCAACAGCTCTCATGGCTGAATCCTTGCCCTCTGACAGTCCCAACCCGTCCTCGATGACCCCCACAGTGTCCGGGGGCAAGGCGTAGTCAAAGAGTTTCGTTTGGGTCTTGAGAACCAGCAGCAAACCTTGCCAGTATGTACCAATCAGGTTTGGGGACGTTCTAATTGTACCTTTTGTGCTTCGCACCGAGAGGTTGTGACAAGAGGCTACCATTCACCAGGACATTGAAGTAGTTCTTCGCACCATCCATCCGCAACCATACACGCGAAGATGAGGTTTTGAATCTGAAGCTGGTGCATGGCCAGTCGAAAGAAACCACACCTGCTCGATCAAAGGCAGCAGATTGGCTCGCACCTTGCTCTTACACTTTCTCTTGGGTGGCTCCTAAGCGCCAACCTTGGGGAATGCCGACATGTCTTGAGTTCTGCCCAGCCTCCGCTGCGCACGTGACGTCCGCAGAAATGCAGCCGAGAAGAATCGGCAGCGGTAAAGAAGTGGCCAGGGGGTGGTGTCTCGGGCGGCCCAAGCACACGAACTGCGCTGGAGCCCATTCTGCTCAAATGGCACAAGCTGCAGAACTCTGCTGACGAGGGTCGCTTTGTGAGTTGCTTTTATGTACCCATCTTGTCTCAAGTCTAAAGCTTCTCTAAGGGGCACAAGTGGCAAACCGTGCTCGCTCTGCACAGTCCGTTGCGTGGCTAGTGCCAACTCCAGAAGATTTTAGGGAAGGCTTCAATAGCCGCGGATGCTGGAAGGAATAGCCAAGCCGGCTGGAACATGACCTCATGGACAAATGCAGCTTCCTTGTAGCAGCTCCTGTGCGGCGAGAGGTTGGCCCCGTCTCATTTTACTCCTGCTTGTTCCGCTTCGATTTTGCAGACTTTGCAGAGCTTGCCCTGACGGCACAAGCCATGCAAAGGCAGGCAGAGGCGCATGCGGCGAGGCCCAGCACGAGCGCAGCAAACATAATGGGCAGGAAACCCAGCTGCAGCCTCAGAAGCTTCCGAGCTGCTTGACGACTTGGGTTAGAAGATTGTTTGAAGTGCGTCGTTGCCTCGCCTTGGCTGAGGTCTAGTTGTGGACACGCTGCAAAGGAGCTCCTGGCAAGCGGAGCAAGCGGATGGTCTGCAGAAGTGGAAGCTGCCGCTTTTGCAAAGCAGCACAGGTCCAGGATGTTCTCCAGCATCTCATTTTCGTCCCGAAGCCACCTGAGTCGTCACTTTCAAGGGATCTGCACATGATATGAAACGTACTCACATCCCAGTAGCGGGACGCGGGCAACGTTGGCCCATCCATCTGGCTCGTCGGTCAGGAGGGTGGAGAGCATCGTGCCATTGCAGGGCTCGGCACTGCAGGGCGGCAACTCCACTTTCCAGTGATCCCACCTGAGGGGTAGAAAGAGAGCGAGTATGAGAGGCTGTCACTGGAAGCTTTGGAAAGTACTCCTGTCCTGAAGAGCTGCGGACGGATGGTTGCCAGAAGGGCTACGAGATCCCAGGGGATGAAGCCCTCCCGAAGCCCAGGGCTCAAAGTTTTTCCCGGCAGGGCCGCAATGCGTCGGTTCACCAGACGGGGCATCAGCCAGGTCTGAAGCCGCATCTTTGGAAGGATCCAATGTGCGGCAGCTGTTGGACACTCCTCCAGACCTCGAATCCAAAAACAGAAACATGTGCGAGCTCCTAATTTTGTTGCAAATTGCTTGAAAGAGCTGAATTCAGTGTAGGGGCGCTTCAAGGTCTGCGAGGTCACGGCTACCTGTGACAGAGCATACTGCGAATAGCTAAGACCAGAGGTGTGGTGTGAGCTGAGATGTTTGATCTGCTTCGATTTTGGTGATCGCCTTCTTCCACTCACTCACTCGAATGCCTGCGCACAGCTTTGGACCGGAACCATTGTTGTCGGCAACCCAGATGCCAAAATCTCACGAGCTGCAGCCCGATCCGTCATGAAGTTCAAGTCCAAGCCTTGCTCGTGAATATGAGGCTGGCATTGCTACAGTAAAGAGCAAAAATCTGAGCTGCAAACGACGATGGGTGAGCTCGCCACCCATGAGAACAGCTGCCCGGATGTGCTCCGAGAGCCATGGGGCACTGCGCATAGCCCGAGCCAAGTTGCTAGGCGGCCCCAAAGACAGGACCTCTGCCACGCTGACCCGACGCAATCAACAAAGTGAAGCGCTTCAGGCCCCTCCGGAGAAACGCACCGTCAAGCTTCGTGGCGGCAAAGCCCTTGTAGCCTGAATGATTGCCTCCGCAGCATCACTAGACTCGTCCTGGCAAGCTGTCATGCATTCAGACGCGTTCCCAGCTCCATGTGCTACCAGGTCCTACCATCCCTCTACCTGGCATAATTCCCGGGCAACCATCACTTCAAGGTGGCTCAGGCATCAAGTGCCGTGATCAACTCTTCTGCCGAAGCAAGAACTACAGCAGTCCTCCTGGATACAGGATGCCAGTAGACGAAGTGATTTCCAAGCAGGCTGCATGCTTTGCCATCCTGCGCGCTTTCAAGGAACTGATGTGTCTATCCTTTAGGATGTGGCAAGGGGGAGCTGCGCCTGCACCCTTGGAAACATTCCACTGGACAGAAGGCATTGACTGAAGCAGCGTCATCGCGTTGGGCCAAGTGTGCAACAAAGGGGCATTGCCTGCGAAGCTCAGTAGCTCCAGGCGCTTACGCTCAAAGCGCGCGTGAGCTGCAATCTCCTCCACAGATGGAGAGGCCCACGATCGTTACCTCTCGCAGCGCCTGCAAGGAAAGAAAATGAAAGAGCTTTGAGCACGATCTGGGCACCTCCAGCCCCCTTGCAGCCAAAATGGCCAAGTCGTCATCGCAATCGAGGCCTGAGCTACGCTGAGCTACGAGGGAACTTTTCATAACTTTTGGTCTTGGACTTGGAGCACCTGTCCATACCAGGCCAGAAGGATCCGCATCGATCCACAGATGCATGCTCCCTAAACACGGTTTTTTTAGCCATGTTCATGGGGCTCCTTGGCCGTTGTTTCGATCGAATTTCCTCTGGTTGTCCTGGCGGCACAGTCATTCTACGAAACACTGTTGACTTTTTCATCAGCAATAACAAAAACAATGTCCAAGGCTTCTTACTCAACAAGTCGATTCCCTGCCCCTCCCTGTGGCAATTCTTGTCTCTTGCAGCTGCTCGTGCGATTGTAATTGTCGTTCTTGTTGTGGTCATTATTGCGGCCGTTGTCGTGGCTCTTCTTCTTACAAATGCTATGATTATGATTCTCGTTGCAAAACATTTGGAAGTGAGCCGAGAGGCCTTGTTGTCACGGGGCTCCCCACAAACTCTCTGGTGCCGGCCTTTGTTTTGTCCCTGCCTTTGCCGTGGCCTCGAAGAGTTTGTTAACTCCTTGCGAAGGGGTCCATCTAAGAACCAATCTCTTTTTTCAAACCGGCCCAGCGTCCAAGACTTGGAGTGGCTGAGTGTTGCTGAAAGAGTTGGCCTTTCGCCTGACAAGCCAGGACGCACGTTTTGCCTTCGCTTACATCGGATGTTGGCCGCTTTGTGCCAGTTGGGTGAAACACCATCTCGTCTTCCTCAAACAGCCTGTGCCGGTTGAAGAGCCTGGCCGAACGATATCAGAAATGATAGAACCTGCCAAAGGCCACTAAGGGCCTGCAGCCGGTGCTGGGCCAGCTCCGTGACGTCCAGGCCAAAGGCGGGGGCCGCCGGGGAGGCCTGGTCCCCAAAAAATGGCCGCTTTGTCGGAAGAGTTATTTTCAGAACGGAGAAGGATGCCTTGGCGAACAGGTAGCGCTCCAGCAATGTGCCATCGAAGGAAGGTGGCACACCCTCTTGACTCTTGTGGGCATCATGCTGACTAAGCCTAAGCCAACTGTGCAATTCTCTGCGCCTGATCGACTTCACATCCGGCACTCTCCTGCGGAGCCATGCCAGCCCCAGGAGGCCTCCCAGGGATTGACAGGCAGAATTATCCAACATGCAAACAGGGGGCAAATTTGCGTACCTGGGTGGCAAACAAGCATCGAACAGGGCCGAAGCTGAGGCCAGGCGATCCAAGAACTTTGCTGCCAAAGCCTTGTGCATAGGCTCAGTCACCATCAACTGACGCGGATGACGACTATCCGGAAAGACGTGCGCCCTAGTCTAGCAGACATTCTTACATGCTTTTCCTGGCCCAGTGCTCGTCTCTAGGTATGTCTGCTGCCAAGCTGGAAGGGCTAGCGCCCTCACTGAACCCTGCAGAAAGAAGGAATCACTTCAGAGGTGTGCAAGACTCGCGTGATCGGAAACGTTATTGGACCCACCTCTGAGGGCAGCACTGCCCGATCAGCTAAGTCGGCCGCAAGATCTTGTCCTTCGCGCTCCTGCTGCTTAGCATGTGACATCCCAAAGAAGCTCTCGAGTGGAAACCTGGTCCCTCATCTTCTGATGCTTTCGAGAGATCTCCTGGAACAACGCTCCACAAGCCATGAAGACATTCTTCAGACCAACAGTTGCGCCTGCAGTTTTTGCAGAATTGGCTGTCCAGCATATGCGAGAAAGTCCGCCTCGTTCAGAGCCTCCCGCAGATGCGCAAGTTTATTTGTCGCGCGCTCAACTTCTCTAAGAAGTCAAACTGCTCGGGCCTGCCTTACGTGCATCGAGCAATGCCTGTGATCGTGGATGGCCCACTTCAATCAAAGCTTCTCGGAGCCACAATGCAACTACCAGTTCCTTTGCACGGTTTTGCATATGTGGTCGCTGATGCCTGATGCTGCTGCTACTGGCTGAAGATTTCTAATCATGATCATTCAAAGCGTGCCTGCAGGTCGCCCGCGGCATCGGCAAGCAGAAGCCGGATGAGCTGTGCCTGAGGCCACGTTTTAACGAACTGTCCGCTCTTCGCTCATCGCCGAGCCTGAGGGCTGCACCCACAGAGCCCGCCGCTGGGGCGTCTCGAACTTGCCGCTCCTTCAGAATCTCTACCTGGATTCCACCTTCCCGAATTTTGAGTCTCCCAGGCCACCGGCAGCAGCTCTCCCAGAACTCGCAGAGCACTTGCACGGCTTGGCTCAACCAGCAGCAGCAGACCTTGACCACGCTTCTCGAAAGAGCTTTGAGGTGGAGGTGCGAAGGTGCGGTGAGGCCACTGCGGACATCTACCAGGATGGGTCCATGGCTGGTTTGCAAGAGCAGGATCTCCTGAGCTCAGAAAAACCTCATGTTCACAACAACCTCACCGCATGTTGGCATCGCTTAGGCTTTCGCCCTCAGGCAGGGGACTCCCAGGGCAAAGCCTTGCAGATCGCCTCCGGCCTTAGTGTCAAAGAAACGCTTTTTCAAATTGATTTACAAGATCACCAAAGAGCTCGCACTTCCCCTTCCTGGCGAGGCTCGAGGTCAAAGTTATTGGCTGTCCACAAGACTTCCGCACCATGCAAAGCCCATTCGAAGCTTTGCCTCAGGAACTTCCAGGCTTACACGCATCCTACCAGAACGTTAAGGAAGGACTTACTCCATGCACAGGGCGCAGACAAAGATTCATGCATGGCACGCAGGGACACGGCGCTGGGCAAGACCACCTCCGTTACCTCAAACACTCGCTTCACTCCCCATCTGCAGATGAATGCAGCTGCGGAGGCTGTTCTGGGCCCTGGCAAGAAGGTCCCAGACAAGCAGTCCCGGGTGATTGCACTGGATCCTTAGCAGACTTGAGCAATTCCGAAACAGAAAAGCCAAGACATCTCTTGAAAACAAGTGTCGCCCGAGGCCAGGCAGCTAACGCCTTCTGCCAAGCTTCCGAGTAGCCTTGCGGGGACTGTGGGGATGGCAGGCAGATTCAAGACGTTTCAGGCTTGACCGGAAGCTGGGCTCCGGCTTTGCACCCTGTGGCAACGAAATTGGATTGAGGAATCCTGTTCTTTCAAAGGCAAGCCACTTGTGCGCTCCTAGCCGAGCAGTTTGATGTCCTGTCCTGGTGAAGTCTGAGCAGGCGGCGCACACTTCTTTGCACCTCGTCCTCGGCCTTGCTGCGCACAGTACACACGGTTACACACGCATGCGGGGCACACCATGCCGTTTGTGACAACTGGGGTGCTCTGCCAGGACACTTCTCTGCCAGAGTCTCGCACAACGGACCCATGCCTCGGCTCAACGCAGCTGATCAAATCGACCGACTGCTTGGCATGAGCTGATGACCAGGGCGGCTCGCAGCGGCTCAACCCCCTCAACCACTGAACTGCTTGGAAGGGTTCTTAATCTCAGGCTGCAGAACATCTTTCAGCCTGCATTGCGCTCCGACGCACCGACTGCACCGCCAGAACTAGCTCCTGCAAGGAAGCACAGCAGCGCAGCCAAAACAGCAGAAGACCTCCTGGCTTGGGCTCCTCGGGCACGGACCTGCAGCCCTCCTCAGACAGTAGGACTTTCCTTGCAGCATCTTGCAGTCTTCCTCGGGCCCGAGCCAGCTTGGAAGCTTCCAGGGCCAGCGCTGCGGAGCGAAGGTCCTCTTCATCGGGCCGCATGGTCTCCTTGGCCTCCAGGCGCTCCAGGCGCTCCAGCCGTGCCTGGAGGCGAAACACGAAACTCCTTCAGAGAGGTGGAAGGTTCGGCTTTGCTGCAGAGGAGCCAAACTGGGCACGGGCGACGTTGGGAAGCCGAGCAGCAGCCACGCGAGGGCATCGCGCTGAGGCCAGAAGACATCATTCTGAGAGGAGCTGGTGCAGTTGGGCAACATCCTGAGACGAGAGAGACGAGCAGCTCTGATTGCAGACTCTCAGGCTCTCTCAGGCTCTCCGAAGCTCTGCTTTAAGCCGTTAAGCCAAGAGGCCCAAGCAACGCGGAGAAGGCTGTGGGTTCCACCTTGTTCATGTCGATACAGAGCTCCACCACCAGCGTTGCCAAGCTCCACTTCGGACAACTTGGCAAGGACGCCAGCACCTCAGGCAGCGCTTCGCAGTTCGGAAGTGTATAGACAGCAAATAAATCCGCCGACCCCGGCCTGATGGGGCGAACGCACAGTGAAGCCCAGGCCTCCTAGCGGGCCACCTACTGCTTCGGATGCTTGCCCTTCCACCTGCCACTTGCGCCGCCCTCTCAGCAGCCCTTCGTGCTCGCCTCCAGGCCCAATCCTTCCCCCCAATCAGCAGGTCCTTTCCGCCCTTCCAAGGCCCTTCATCTCGCACCCCTGCCCGTGTTCTGAGCGGTTGCCTCTAGGCC